AAAATCTCATCATGTACGCCAAGTAGTCTGCGTCGTAGCTGGCGTTGATCAGCTTCAACTCCGTCTCGGGGTCCTTCATGGCAATGCGCGCCACCTGACGCCCGATGCGGCCGAAGCCGTTGATGCCCACGCCCACCGCCTGCATGGAGGTGCGGCTCTTGCCCGCGCGCTTGCCAGCCACCCCGGCCGCCGCCAGGCCCGCAATGGCACCCATGCCGGCCATGGCTCCCATGCCGGAGCTGGAGGACTGCGAGGTGCGGGAGTAGCCCGACGCACGGAGCCCGCTCTTGGCCTCCTGTGCCACAGGTCCAGGCGCCACGAAGGCGGTGGTCAGGGCCGTGCCGGCCACTGCACCGCCAAACAGCAGGGCCGCATTCTCCACAGCGGACGGCATGATTGCAAGAAGGGAGCACAAGCTTCAAAATGGGACAGCCGAAAATGCTGAGACATTTCGGCGATCAAGCATCGCCATCTGTGCTCATGTGGGTAAAGAAGTCGACATAGATAGACGATATAAATATATATATATATATGGTTCATTCTCACGCTGATCTTGGGAGTTGGACATATTGTCAAAACGAGTTGCCGAGACCCAAATTCGGCTCAAACAAGGAACGCCAACATGAAACAAACATTTGGAAGGGATGCATTGCAAAGACAGCCCCTCTAATGAATCAGCATGGTAATTCCACACTTAATCAAGATTGAGATTGACTCTTGTATGCCATATACCCTCAGTCAAATCAACATGGAAACTGACAGGGTCCGTTTCAGGTGGCTTCCCTTGTCCGTGAAGGGGGTTCATGGTTGGCACATCTTTGCATCGTCGGCACAAATGCCACATATAGCAGCCCGGCGTGTGACGCAAATGGCTCTCTTTTGGTGACTGGCACTCCACCACAGAAAGAAGGCAGAGTTCGCGAAAATGGAAAAACTGAAAGAGACATCACTAAGTGATGGGACTCTACTTTCAGGTTAAACGTTTGACCTCCCTAAGCTATGCTGCCTTTCTCATGCCTTGGCATCCTCCGCGGCCATGTGCTTGATCAAATCAACCACCCTGCATGAGTAGCCCCACTCATTGTCGTACCAGCACACAACCTTCACGAAGGTGGGATCAAGCATGATGCCTGCCTTGGCATCAAAGGTGCAGGAGATGGGGCAAGTCTCGAAGTCAGTGGACACAAGCGCCTCATCGGTGTAGCCAAGGAAGCCCTTCATGTCACCCTCGGATCGCTTCTTCATCTCTGCGCAAATCTCCTCATAGGTCGTTTCCTTCTCCAATTCGACGGTAAGGTCGACGACAGAGACATCGATGGTCGGGACTCGCAGGGCCATGCCAGTGAGCTTGCCCTTCACATCAGGGATCACCTTCGCCACAGCCTTGGCCGCTCCAGTGGAGGAGGGGATGATGTTGCCAGGGCCCGCGCGGCCACCGCGCCAGTCCTTCTTGGAGGTGCCGTCCACAGTTGGCTGGGAGGCAGTCATGGCGTGGCAGGTGGTCATGAGGCCTCGCTTGATGCCCCACTTCTCATTCAGCACCCGCACTGCTGGTGCCAGGCCGTTAGTGGTGCAGGAGGCACAGGACACGCACTCCATGGAGGGGTCATAGGTGTCCTGGTTCACGCCCATCACAATGGTGTGCGAGTCATCCTTGGCAGGGGCGGAGAAGATCACCTTCTTGGCACCAGCCTTCAAGTGACCCTGAACCTTCTCAGTGGTCAGGAACACTCCCGTGGACTCGCACACGTACTCGGCGCCATGCTCAGCGAAGGGGATCTCAGCAGGGTCGCGGGTGTGGGACAGCGCAATCTTCTGGCCGTCCACCACCAGGGAATCTCCATCAACCTCCACGGTGCCGTCGTACTTGCCGTGGATCGTGTCATATTTCCTGGCGTTTGTTGACGCAGAACCACCGTGCACAAAAAGATGGCAACTAAGACATGTATGGCAACCCCCTACTATAAGAAACTACAAGTTCCAAACACGAAAAGGCGTGCTCGGTCTGGACAAAATCTCATCATGTACGCCAAGTAGTCTGCGTCGTAGCTGGCGTTGATCAGCTTCAACTCCGTCTCGGGGTCCTTCATGGCAATGCGCGCCACCTGACGCCCGATGCGGCCGAAGCCGTTGATGCCCACGCCCACCGCCTGCATGGAGGTGCGGTTCTTGCCCGCGCGCTTGCCAGCCACCCCGGCCGCCGCCAGGCCCGCAATGGCACCCATGCCGGCCATGGCTCCCATGCCGGAGCTGGAGGACTGCGAGGTGCGGGAGTAGCCCGACGCACGGAGCCCGCTCTTGGCCTCCTGTGCCACAGGTCCAGGCGCCACGAAGGCGGTGGTCAGGGCCGTGCCGGCCACTGCACCGCCAAACAGCAGGGCCGCATTCTCCACAGCGGACGGCATGATTGCAAGAAGGGAGCACAAGCTTCAAAATGGGACAGCCGAAAATGCTGAGACATTTCGGCGATCAAGCATTGACATCTGCGCTCATGTGGGTAAAGAAGTCGACATAGATAGACGAGAGATATACATGGTTCATTCTCACGCTGATCTTGGGCGTTGGACATATTGTCAAAACGAGTTGCCGAGACCCAAATTCGGCTCAAACAAGGAAAGCCAACATGAAACAAACATTTGGAAGGGATGCATTGCAAAGGCAGCCCCTCTAATGAATCAGCATGGTAATTCCACACTTAATCAAGATTGAGATTGACTCTTGTATGCCATATACCCTCAGTCAAATCAACATGGAAACTGACAGGGTCCGTTTCAGGTGGTTTCCCATATCCGTGAGGGGGGTACATGGTTGGCACATCTTTGCATCGTCGGCGCAGATGCCACATATAGCAGACGGGCGGGTGACGCACATGGCTCTCTTTTGGTGACTGGCACTCCACCACAGAAAGAAGGCAGAGTTCGCGAAAATGGTAAAACTGAAAGAGACATCACTAAGTGATGGGACTCTACTTTCAGGTTAAACGTTTGACCTCCCTAAGCTATGCTGCCTTTCTCATGCCTTGGCATCCTCCGCGGCCATGTGCTTGATCAAATCAACCACCCTGCATGAGTAGCCCCACTCGTTGTCGTACCAGCACACAACCTTCACGAAGGTGGGATCAAGCATGATGCCTGCCTTGGCATCAAAGGTGCAGGAGATGGGGCAAGTCTCGAAGTCAGTGGACACAAGCGCCTCATCGGTGTAGCCAAGGAAGCCCTTCATGTCACCCTCGGATCGCTTCTTCATCTCTGCGCAAATCTCCTCATAGGTCGTTTCCTTCTCCAATTCGACGGTAAGGTCGACGACAGAGACATCGATGGTCGGGACTCGCAGGGCCATGCCAGTGAGCTTGCCCTTCACATCAGGGATCACCTTCGCCACAGCCTTGGCCGCTCCAGTGGAGGAGGGGATGATGTTGCCAGGGCCCGCGCGGCCACCGCGCCAGTCCTTCTTGGAGGTGCCGTCCACAGTTGGCTGGGAGGCAGTCATGGCGTGGCAGGTGGTCATGAGGCCTCGCTTGATGCCCCACTTCTCATTCAGCACCCGCACTGCTGGTGCCAGGCCGTTAGTGGTGCAGGAGGCACAGGACACGCACTCCATGGAGGGGTCATAGGTGTCCTGGTTCACGCCCATCACAATGGTGTGCGAGTCATCCGTGGCAGGGGCGGAGAAGATCACCTTCTTGGCGCCAGCCTTCAAGTGACCCTGAACCTTCTCAGTGGTCAGGAACACTCCCGTGGACTCGCACACGTACTCGGCGCCATGCTCAGCGAAGGGGATCTCAGCAGGGTCGCGCGTGTGGGACAGCGCAATCTTCTGGCCGTCCACCACCAGGGAATCTCCATCAACCTCCACGGTGCCGTCGTACTTGCCGTGGATCGTGTCATATTTCCTGGCGTTTGTTGACGCAGAACCACCGTGCACAAAAAGATGGCAACTAAGACATGTATGGCAACCCCCTACTATAAGAAACTCCAAGTTCCAAACACGAAAAGGCGTGCTCGGTCTGGACAAAATCTCATCATGTACGCCAAGTAGTCTGCGTCGTAGCTGGCGTTGATCAGCTTCAACTCCGTCTCGGGATCCTTCATGGCAATGCGCGCCACCTGACGCCCGATGCGGCCGAAGCCGTTGATGCCCACGCCCACCGCCTGCATGGAGGTGCGGCTCTTGCCCGCGCGCTTGCCAGCCACCCCGGCCGCCGCCAGGCCCGCAATGGCACCCATGCCGGCCATGGCTCCCATGCCGGAGCTGGAGGACTGCGAGGTGCGGGAGTAGCCCGACGCACGGAGCCCGCTCTTGGCCTCCTGTGCCACAGGTCCAGGCGCCACGAAGGCGGTGGTCAGGGCCGTGCCGGCCACTGCACCGCCAAACAGCAGGGCCGCATTCTCCACAGCGGACGGCATGATTGCAAGAAGGGAGCACAAGCTTCAAAATGGGACAGCCGAAAATGCTGAGACATTTCGGCGATCAAGCATTGACATCTGCGCTCATGTGGGTAAAGAAGTCGACATAGATAGACGAGAGATATACATGGTTCATTCTCACGCTGATCTTGGGCTCAAAACGAGTTGCCGAGACCCAAATTCGGCTCAAACAAGGAAAGCCAACATGAAACAAACATTTGGAAGGGATGCATTGCAAAGGCAGCCCCTCTAATGAATCAGCATGGTAATTCCACACTTAATCAAGATTGAGATTGACTCTTGTATGCCATATACCCTCAGTCAAATCAACATGGAAACTGACAGGGTCCGTTTCAGGTGGTTTCCCATATCCGTGAGGGGGGTACATGGTTGGCACATCTTTGCATCGTCGGCGCAGATGCCACATATAGCAGACGGGCGGGTGACGCACATGGCTCTCTTTTGGTGACTGGCACTCCACCACAGAAAGAAGGCAGAGTTCGCGAAAATGGAAAAACTGAAAGAGACATCACTAAGTGATGGGACTCTACTTTCACGTTAAACATTTGACCTCCCTAAGCTATGCTGCCTTTCTCATGCCTTGGCATCCTCCGCGGCCATGTGCTTGATCAAATCAACCACCCTGCATGAGTAGCCCCACTCGTTGTCGTACCAGCACACAACCTTCACAAAGGTGGGATCAAGCATGATGCCTGCCTTGGCATCAAAGGTGCAGGAGATGGGGCAAGTCTCGAAGTCAGTGGACACAAGCGCCTCATCGGTGTAGCCAAGGAAGCCCTTCATGTCACCCTCGGATCGCTTCTTCATCTCTGCGCAAATCTCCTCATAGGTCGTTTCCTTCTCCAATTCGACGGTAAGGTCAACGACAGAGACATCGATTGTCGGGACTCGCAGGGCCATGCCAGTGAGCTTGCCCTTCACATCAGGGATCATCTTCGCCACAGCCTTGGCCGCTCCAGTGGAGGAGGGGATGATGTTGCCAGGGCGATGATGATGATGATGGTGGTTAAAGTGGAGCAGGTTGACATAGACCTGGAACCACTGGATCCCGCGTCTGATGTCCGGCAAAATGCCGGGCGGTTAGGCCTTCTGCGCTGCCCAACATGTTTCGCTCTGCATCGGATGTCTCGCCATGGCTCAATGCGAGGCATTGACTGCAAGCTTTGACGAAAAAGCAAACACGTGACGCATGTCACAAGTGTGGGTCGGTCAGGCGCCGGCCGCTACACCAGAACATGCTGTGATGCGTGCTGCACATGCTGCGCGGTCACCACTGATGTTGCCAGGGCCCGCGCGGCCACCGCGCCAGTCCTTCTTGGAGGTGCCGTCCACAGTTGGCTGGGAGGCAGTCATGGCGTGGCAGGTGGTCATGAGGCCTCGCTTGATGCCCCACTTCTCATTCAGCACCCGCACTGCTGGTGCCAGGCCGTTAGTGGTGCAGGAGGCACAGGACACGCACTCCATGGAGGGGTCATAGGTGTCCTGGTTCACGCCCATCACAATGGTGTGCGAGTCATCCTTGGCAGGGGCGGAGAAGATCACCTTCTTGGCGCCAGTCTTCAAGTGACCCTGAACCTTCTCAGTGGTCAGGAACACTCCCGTGGACTCGCACACGTACTCGGCGCCATGCTCAGCGAAGGGGATCTCAGCAGGGTCGCGGGTGTGGGACAGCGCAATCGTCTGGCCGTCCACCATACTTGCCATGGATCGTGTCATATTTCCTGGCTTTTGTTGATGCAGAACCACCGTGCACAAAAAGATGGCAACTAAGACAAGTATGGCAACCCCCTACTATAAGAAACTACAAGTTCCGAACACGAAAAGGCATGCTCGGTCTGGACAAAATCTCATCATGTACGCCAAGTAGTCTGCGTCGTAGCTGGCGGTGATCAGCTTCAACTCCGTCTCGGGGTCCTTCATGGCAATGCGCGCCACCTGACGCCCGATACGGCCGAAGCCGTTGATGCTCACGCCCACCGCCTGCATGGAGGTGCGGTTCTTGCCCGCGCGCTTGCCAGCCACCCCGGCCGCCGCCAGGCCCGCAATGGCACCCATGCCGGCCATGGCTCCCATGCCGGAGCTGGAGGACTGCGAGGTGCGGGAGTAGCCCGACGCACGGAGCCCGGTCTTGGCCTCCTGTGCCACAGGTCCAGGCGCCACGAAGGCGGTGGTCAGGGCCGTGCCGGCCACTGCACCGCCAAACAGCAGGGCCGCATTCTCCACAGCGGACAGCATGATTGCAAGAAGGGAGCACAAGCTTCAAAATGGGACAGCCGAAAATGCTGAGACATTTCGGCGATCAAGCATCGCCATCTGTGCTCATGTGGGTAAAGAAGTCGACATAGATAAACGATATATATATATATGGTTCATTCTCACGCTGATCTTGGGAGTTGGACATATTGTCAAAACGAGTTGCCGAGACCCAAATTCGGCTCAAACAAGGAAAGCCAACATGAAACAAACATTTGGAAGGGATGCGTTGCAAAGACAGCCCCTCTAATGAATCAGCATGGTAATTCCACACATAATCAAGATTGAGATTGACTCTTGTATGCCATATACCCTCAGTCAAATCAACATGGAAACTGACAGGGTCCGTTTCAGGTGGTTTCCCACATCCGTGAGGGGGGTACATGGTTGGCACATCTTTGCATCGTCGGCAAAGATGCCACAAAAAGCAGCCCGGCGTGTGATGCAAATGGCTCTCTTTTGGTGACTGGCACTCCACCACAGAAAGAAGGCAGAGTTCGCGAAAATGGAAAAACTGAAAGAGACATCACTAAGTGATGGGACTCTACTTTCACGTTAAACATTTGACCTCCCTAAGCTATGCTGCCTTTCTCATGCCTTGGCATCCTCCGCGGCCATGTGCTTGATCAAATCAACCACCCTGCATGAGTAGCCCCACTCGTTGTCGTACCAGCACACAACCTTCACGAAGGTGGGATCAAGCATGATGCCTGCCTTGGCATCAAAGGTGCAGGAGATGGGGCAAGTCTCGAAGTCAGTGGACACAAGCGCCTCATCGGTGTAGCCAAGGAAGCCCTTCATGTCACCCTCGGATCGCTTCTTCATCTCTGCGCAAATCTCCTCATAGGTCGTTTCCTTCTCCAATTCGACGGTAAGGTCGACGACAGAGACATCGATGGTCGGGACTCGCAGGGCCATGCCAGTGAGCTTGCCCTTCACATCAGGGATCACCTTCGCCACAGCCTTGGCCGCTCCAGTGGAGGAGGGGATGATGTTGCCAGGGCCCGCGCGGCCACCGCGCCAGTCCTTCTTGGAGGTGCCGTCCACAGTTGGCTGGGAGGCAGTCATGGCGTGGCAGGTGGTCATGAGGCCTCGCTTGATGCCCCACTTCTCATTCAGCACCCGCACTGCTGGTGCCAGGCCGTTAGTGGTGCAGGAGGCACAGGACACGCACTCCATGGAGGGGTCATAGGTGTCCTGGTTCACGCCCATCACAATGGTGTGCGAGTCATCCTTGGCAGGGGCGGAGAAGATCACCTTCTTGGCACCAGCCTTCAAGTGACCCTGAACCTTCTCAGTGGTCAGGAACACTCCCGTGGACTCGCACACGTACTCGGCGCCATGCTCAGCGAAGGGGATCTCAGCAGGGTCGCGGGTGTGGGACAGCGCAATCTTCTGGCCGTCCACCACCAGGGAATCTCCATCAACCTCCACGGTGCCGTCGTACTTGCCGTGGATCGTGTCATATTTCCTGGCTTTTGTTGACGCAGAACCACCGTGCACAAAAAGATGGCAACTAAGACATGTATGGCAACCCCCTACTATAAGAAACTACAAGTTCCGAACACGAAAAGGCATGCTCGGTCTGGACAAAATCTCATCATGTACGCCAAGTAGTCTGCGTCGTAGCTGGCGTTGATCAGCTTCAACTCCGTCTCGGGGTCCTTCATGGCAATGCGCGCCACCTGACGCCCGATGCGGCCGAAGCCGTTGATGCCCACGCCCACCGCCTGCATGGAGGTGCGGCTCTTGCCCGCGCGCTTGCCAGCCACCCCGGCCGCCGCCAGGCCCGCAATGGCACCCATGCCGGCCATGGCTCCCATGCCGGAGCTGGAGGACTGCGAGGTGCGGGAGTAGCCCGACGCACGGAGCCCGGTCTTGGCCTCCTGTGCCACAGGTCCAGGCGCCACGAAGGCGGTGGTCAGGGCCGTGCCGGCCACTGCACCGCCAAACAGCAGGGCCGCATTCTCCACAGCGGACGGCATGATTGCAAGAAGGGAGCACAAGCTTCAAAATGGGACAGCCGAAAATGCTGAGACATTTCGGCGATCAAGCATTGAGATTGTCGAGTTGGATTGCGCACTCATTCCAACGCCGCACATGTTGTGCTGCTCAAATGCAAGAACCGCATCCACAAAGTCTCGTTCACGCCTGAAACCACAGTATTACGTTTGTCGCCTTCGTCCTAAACTGTGGCTGTTGCTGCCTGGTGTAGAAACCTGGAAACTAAGTTAGGCACTCCACCATGCGGTTGCTATTGATGTTGTTGGCAACGGTGTCACAAATGATCGCGTGGAATGTTGCATTTCAATAACAAGGGAAGGTCAACCGGATTCGGCTATCATGATCCTGCCAAGATGTCTGATCATTGCCGCAGGCCTACGCCACGCGCTCTTTCAAAAAACAGTCGGGGACTGGGACCAGATCGGCAGAATCGGGTGACGCATGTGTTGCTCATGATCGCGGGGCTACCAGTGTCCATGCTTCGGCGGGATCGCAGGTGTTGCCGCTCAACTCAGCTAAGATGTTCTCCATTTTCGGGGACCCCCAAAAACCGGTTGGTATCCTTCTGAACTGCTCAGAGGCCTTACCGGTCTTGCCAAATGCTCTGGTAGCATCAAGCGCCTGCGTTAAGGAAAGCTTGGGAAGCTTGTTGCGACGGGAACACTCCAAGAGGCACAAAAGCCCATCGACCAGACGTCAAGGACGGTAACAGAACGCGAGAGAAGCCTGATCACCCCGGCCCGCTCCCTGGATCTTAGCTGGGTCCGTCTCAAAATAGGGAGCCCTTCTTGAGATAGACCTTGAGATGGCATAGAAGAGAAGCCAAAGGTAAGCGCAGCCGCCGAAATAGATGGAGTTGGGGCCGACTCCGACCAGTCCTTGAGGTGAGAGTGTTGGGCTAGTGCCTTGGCACCCTGGGCTGCCCAGGCGTTGAAGGTTTGGCAACTAAGCTATCATAATTCGCATGTGTGGCTCGTTTGATCCACGGGTAAATAATTTTGCCATCCGGGGATAGGCAACATATCGCTGGTTCGACTAACGGCCGAGCAATCTGCAATTCCTCGCCAACAAGCAAATCCAAAAGCCGGCAGGCTGCCTTATGCGTCGCGAAGCCCGTGAGCTGATGATTGCTGACTTTGCCGAACAACTATCTACCGCAGCATGTTTGTAGATCGCCTGTCGTGCCTCCACTTGCTGCATGCAGTCGTTGTCCACTGAGCACGCGGAAGTGAAATGGGCCGGGATCGATGAAACTAACATGCCAATCTTCAACCGGAAATCGACAACCTATTCCTTGCGGTCCATTAAAATGCGGGGAGTTACAAGATAATCGAAGCGTTCATCGCAATCTGGTACCTCTTATCGTTGACTTCCCTGGGTCCGAGAAGACAGTGTCAACCAACGGCTCCACCAGAATAGGTTTCCAAAGCTCAATCAATTGATGTGCTGCTGCTGCGGATTGCGGAAGCTTGCTGCTGGATATAAAAAAAGCAACCCTCCATGTCATTTGAGTTTCCTTAGGTATTGCTCGCCCTGTTGTTGAAGCTGCAAATGAATACCCGAATCGTTCAGCATTCCCTGAAATATTGCAGTTGAATCCAAATTTGAGTCTATTTCTCTGGTTGGTCTCCCTCGGAAGCGGAGCGGCCAAACAGAGTTCTGCAAAGCTTGGAGCGAACTGCACGGCCGAACTTGCAACGACTAAGCATGGTTGCAAGAGCCAGGTGGCGCAAGCTTCAAAACAGGACACATTCAATGATCAGGACTGACAGTATTCATGTGCATGAAGATCATATCTACATAGACAAATGCACATGTGCATGTGAACATCGAGTTCACGGGTTAAATACCAAAGTGTCCAGTCTTCAATCTCCAAAAGACAAGCTGCACTGCAAGCTGGGCGGGCCTGCGCCTTTTGTGCCCGTCGGTCCATGAAGATTGGCGGTTCGTGTCAAGGACACGCTTTGTACAAGGCGGGGAGAGCCACTGGCTGCAAGCTGTACAGCTGGATACCGGATCGCCTCATTTTGGGCTTGGTCTACTTGGCACTTGGTTCTAGAATTCCATCCGGCGTTGGAAGATCAAGCCAGAACCAGGGAAACATGTTGCCAAACATACAGGTCAGCCGCAGTGCAGGCTGATAGATCAAAGAAGCGGAAGCTTTCTGAAAGTAAATAGATATGTTGTAGCGCTTGCCGAGAGGATTCATTTGGAGCCAAGGATTGCAACAGTCTTTAGCTTGGGTTGGTGGCTGGCAATCAGGGCTTGGTGGTGCAACGCGTGCGGTACTCTGCGAGCAACTGGATTAGGTCCATTCATTGAACCACCACATTGGGCAATCCTGTAGCGATCCGGTGGCTTGAATCACCAGAGCGTCTCCGAAAATAATTCATCGAAAGCCCAGCTTGTCCACACTTCCGCAGCCTGCCACCATCGAACAAATCTACAAGATTGCAGTCGAGACATGGGGGAAATGTGCAATGACCAATCCTTCATCTCAGCTACATTGCACATCTTCCAGGCCATAATCAGCAGTGGCGTTGCCTTGAGTAAAGAACACATAAAAACTCACATCAAATAAGGTCTCCTGAAACAAGATCTTAAGAGCTGCCCTCTATCCCGATCCCGAGGAAAAGGGGCCAGTAACCCATGCACATACGACACGGAATCCACAAGTCTCCGAGCTCATTGGGATAGATTGAAAATCCATGGGGTGCTAGATGAGACGTGTTTGGGTAATGCGCGGTCACATGAAACCTGCAAACCCACCTGCGCGACAAATTTAAGAACGGATGAATCATCTCACATTCGCCGTGCACAATGAGTTTCGAGTCTCAGAGTCAAAAAAGGGACACTGATTTTAGTCTGCCTTGAAAAAACCCGGCTCAATGCATTGCACACATTCATTCTCCAGGCTGAACTAAGGAACCAGGTCAGCTCAAATTCCTTCAGATCTATCCACGTGCCCCTCTGACAATGCACCTGCACAAAATGCTAGGTGAGGTCACGTTTCTCTTCATCCATGAGATGCCCGCCGAAGCTTTCCTTTGCTTTTCAAGCCAACCCGAATTGTTCAGACTCATGGGCTCCTTCCTTGCAACACGTTTAGTGGCTGGGCAAAATGGCACGACTCATCCATGCCTGAAGCTATCCAAAAGCGCCGCGACGGTTCACGCTGTACCAGCCCTGGCCCTTGGCAGTTGGGAATCCGCCGGTGGTCAACCTTTTCAGATCTCAACTGAGCATGGGCAGCATTACTGTCCTAGAGCAGCCTCCTTTTGGGGCGGGGCTGTTTTGGGGCTCCGCGCCAATGTTTCTGCCCCGTTTTGTCTGGGCACGCAACACATGAATTCACCAAGGACGGCGGAGAACAACACGCTGGCACAACTTCAGTTACGTGTTTGACCCATGATGCCACTTATGGCCTGCTCACCTCTTAGCTTGCAAGCCACAAGCCTAGAACATCCGGCGCATCAAATTCGAAGGCACCAAGTCCACATTTGCCAAGGCCCTGAGCCCCGGGCCGTGCGCACGATGCGAATCTAGCGGCTTGCGATGTGGGGAAGAGGAGACGCCGCCCAGGAGAGTTGGCATTGATTGGCCACAATTGTATACGTACGTACCCTCTGCCCATGTGTGTATGTACGTGTTCCCGTATGAATGTAGGCAAGTACGTTCGTGCGCAAGTACGTTCGTGCGCACGGATGGATGGATGGATGGGATGGGATGGGATGGGATGGGATGGGATGGGATGGGATGGGATGGGATGGGATGGGATGGGATGGGATGGGATGGGATGGGATGGGATGGGATGGGATGGGATGGGATGGGATGGGATGGGATGGGATGGGATGGGATGGGATGGGATGGGATGGGATGGGATGGGATGGGATGGGATGGGATGGGATGGGATGGGATGGGATGGGATGGGATGGGATGGATGGATGGATGGTTGGTTGGATGGATGGATGGATGGATGGCTGGCTGGCTGGCTGGCTGGCTGGATGGCTGGCTGGCTGGCTGGCTGGCTGGATGGATGGATGAATTCATGGATGGACAGACGCACGGACGGACGGAGGGATGGATGCACGGAAGGACGGACGGAGGGATGGATTAATCCATTATGTAGAAAAGAATCTGCTTGAGTATAAAGAGAAGGTAACAGATGAGCTAAAAAAGATATTGAGGCTAGTATTTCTTCTCTCAAAGAAGTAATCTCTTCAGAAGATATACAACTAATGCTTTTGCCTGATGCAAAGATCAAATTGTATTAATTGGGGGGGCTCTCCCATAGAAGAAAATGATCTTCACAACAAGGAACCTCCAAAAACAGAGGTCCGGTTTGTGAACACATACATCTTTGCCCGGCCGGCTGATTTTTGATGCACGCCAAAATTCCATCTCCTGGCTGAATCCCCAGACAAACTTACAAGCTCCCAGCTCGCATGTTCTGGATCTGGCCAAAGCGCCCCCATTGTGATGGTCAGACGTGACGTTCCAGTCCAAAGCGGTTCTTTGTCACATTCAGAGCTCCCTCCAAATGCCAGCATACAAACAAGCTTACAAAAACAAAAAACTGGGAAATGGGAACCTGACGCAACAGAAGAGCGGTTCCGGGGGCTGACCATGCTCAGGGGATACGGGTGTCTCTCAAAATGTGGTTCAAGGCTATTGTCCAAGCGTGTGACTCCCGGAAGGGTGGATTTCAAATTTCTACCAGCCACTTGCCACTTCGGAGTACTAAACTACTCCGAAATCATCTGGGGTGGGAATCCACTCGAAGCCACTCGAAGTTGCATTGGCCGGCGACAGGTGCCTCATCGTCCAGGTAGAGGATCTCGAAATTGCCAAAGGGCAGCGTCAGCCTCAGTCACAAAGCGGTTACGTAACTTCTCCCTAAGCCACTTGAGTAAACCCAAACATCATCTGAATCTCTTTAGAGTCTGCTAAGTGTTGAAAGCACCACATAAACAGCGGCCAGCCATTTGGGTCCTGTTTGGCACAATGAAGAACAATAAAATCAAAGAAGAGCCCCTTCCCCCAAAAGAAAACCGAGGGGGGCCGCCATGGTCTTGCCGACGTAGCACCAAAACATCATGGTGTTCCGTTGACTGATTTCAAGCAACGTTCACTGTGTGCACCCCTGCTAATGATAGCCATGAATGACGTCATCCACTCAGCAAAAAATCCTGCCTATCCAAATGTTGTGATGTGGGTAACCTCAAAGGGACAAACAAAGTATGTTTAGAAATGACCCGCATCTACTCTTATCGCTGAGAGATGCTATGGCAATACAAAGTCCGATATGGCGATTCAATGCACAACATCCCTTGATCCTGAGATGAGCCATCCGTGGAAGGAGACTTAGCAAAGTGTGCGTTTTCGTTTGAGCTCGCGATCCACTCGGTTTGGGAACCAGTATGCCACATCATGCGAGGGTCTAACAAAAGCGCAAATCGGCTTGAACCAGATTTACAGGCGAGCGTTTTGGTGATGGCCATTCCTCAAAGGGTAGCTGGCCATGACAAAACCAGTGTGATTGTGGAATCCCAATGGGGACCGCTTGCTCTCCTACTATTCAACATAGACCCAACAAAGTACGCATCTCCTTGTGCTTGTTGATGCTTGCTCATCCCACAACAACCGCTTCTGTTGGCCCAAACAAGTTTAGCTCCTTCTGGGTCTGCTCCTCATACAAGAGATTTGACTTGCGATTCATTCTGCAGGTCAGTGGCCAGTCGCTTTCAAAACAGCTCTGACAATGTCGCATGAGTGCTTTGCCAATCCGGTACTTGTGGCGTCGACTCGCAAGCATCAAGCCTATCTGCCCCTGCGAGAATACGTGATACCATCCTGCGATACGTGATAAAACCATCCAATCTCCGGGGTCGTGTCATCTCCATTTGAGTCACATTCCCAGCACATCCCAGCACCCCCACTTCCTGTGGCCAAAGAGGCATCTGGGACGAAATGACAACCAACGGCCCCAACCCAACAGGCACCTCTCGGGGTTTGGTGTCTGGACCTGGTCTGCCCCCCGGTCTGAGCTCCCCCAACGGCCCCTGAAGGGTCAGCTTCAGCGCCTCCGCAGATTCGGTTCGGAAACCGAGTCCGGTGTCACAATGCTACTTTGCTCCCAACTGCCTGGCAAAGTACTTTGGATTCAGGACCGTAGCAAACCAAAACCTTGACATCGATCAATGCCTCGAAGGGCTCAAGCCCTGATGATTTTCGGAGCTGCCGATCTGAAGTGGGTGACTGGGTCGCCTCCATGCAAGATTGCCATATCCAACGGGCCGGTGCAACCAGCCAATGCTGAAGACCTCAAGTGTTTCTGAGTAAGATGCCTCCTTCCCCAACATTCGGACCGATGTGCCCTTTGTGGCGGAGGCTCTCAGGAAATGTGAAACAAATCACAAACCAACAACTGGAGGCCCGCTTTGAAGGGCCGGAACCCGAACACATTGTACTTAAACCACGTGTCAACAGCTTGCTGCGTGTGTAGACTCTACATGATCCCATGGCCATGTTGGCCCTTTGAGTGACGGTTTCCCTTGATGACGTAACTCGGGTTCATATCAGGGGCGCCAAGGAAAGTGGTGCGACGTATATCGGCAGCATTTGGCCTCGGCGCGCCTTTGGCACCAACGCTCTGACACGTTGCAGTTTCGCCACAGGTCCAAGCGCGAGCAGCATCGCAGGGGAGGTTCGGGCAACTGCCTCTGAACTTTGTCATTTGTTCGCCACATCTGTCAACTCTGCGAAGGGGCAAAGCATTGACATCAAACACCGCGAACCAATAGTTTATGGTCACATGGTGAACATTCAACTGGTCGCACCCTGCACCGATCAGCCACGTCAGCCGGGTCAGCCCAAGGGTGGTTGCTCGAGCTCCGTCTGCGCGCCTGAGCATCGCAACCCCCCCTTTGAGATTTTGCCCTCTTCCAAACAGAGTGGGTCCTTGCCCCAAAGCAGATTCCTCGAGCGAGGGTCCTTTGGCTCCTTTGGGTTTCGGAGCAACTCCAATCCTCCCGCTGCCGGTGCATTTCTAAGGCCCCTTGAGGAAAGCATATGACAATGCCGCACCAAAGAGGGCCACCCCCAATCAGGTGTTTGCCTGGCGCATATGCCCAGTGGGTCTCTCCTCGCTAGAAGTCCGAAGGTCGCCCGAATATGCCCGCATATGCTGTATCACACGCTCCACTTGAATGTGTTGCGCCAAGCCTGGCAATTGATTAAAAAGTAAAGGATGATTGCAGCGCGGCTTGAACTCCATCATGGTCAATGATCAGGGATGGTTGTTTGAAGTGGGAATTCCAAATTCCCAAGTGCCACCACCAAGCAAATCAAGCTGTAGACGCCCTGCATGATTACCCCGTTGTTCAGCCTTTGTTCTCTTCTAGAGGAAATCCATGCTAAGCTGACAACACCTGAGCTTGTTTGAAGCACATTTACCCCGCCGTGTGCGCAAATGCCATCCGGGCGCTTTGCTGCTTTTCCAATTCCATCTTCTCCTCCCAGGTCCTATGCGCTGCATGGCGAGCCCGTGTGAAAATATGCTGTTCCCACGATGGACCTGGGAAAATGAGTGAGTCACACCAGGTTGTGCCAGAATGATTGTAGACTGGACATCTGACTGAACCTCAGGTGAGCAGGTCCGTCCCCGCCATTAACAGGAGCCTGGCCACCTGGAAAGGGAGGTGTGCCCAGACCTTTGCTGATGTTGACAGAAGAGGTGCGATCCAGTAAGGGCATTTGATGCATGGAAAATCATATCGGATCTGTGAAGCAAGAGATTGCACTTTTGTGTCGACCATTTGGACGTGTATCCAACTCGTGTTCATAGCATAAGGGAAGAACGGGTGCTGACAGAGGTGCCCCAAAGCTGTGAGTGACGCATGGAAAATCATCTCGGATCTGTGAAGCAAGATATTGCACTTTTGTGTCGACCATTTGGACGTGTATCCAACTCGTGTTCATAGCATAAGGGAAGAACGAGTGCTGACAGAGGTGCCCCAAAGCTGTGAGTGACGCATGGAAAATCATATCGGATCTGTGAAGCAAGAGATTGCACTTTTGTGTCGACCATTTGGACGTGTATCCAACTCGTGTTCATAGCAAAAGGGATGAACGGGTGCTGACAGAGGTGCCCCAAAGCTGTGTGACGCATGGAAAATCATATCGGATCTGTGAAGCAAGATATTGCACTTTTGTGTCGACCATTTGGACGTGTATCCAACTCGCGTTCATAGCATAAGGGAAGAACGGGTGCTGACAGAGGTGCCCCAAAGCTGTGAGTGACGCATGGAAAATCATATCGGATCTGTGAAGCAAGAGATTGCACTTTTGTGTCGACCATTTGGACGTGTATCCAACTCGTGTTCATAGCATAAGGGAAGAACGGGTGCTGACAGAGGTGCCCCAAAGCTGTGAGTGACGCATGGAAAATCATATCGGATCTGTGAAGCAAGAGATTGCACTTTTGTGTCGACCATTTGGACGTGTATCCAACTCGTGTTCATAGCATAAGGGAAGAACGGGTGCTGACAGAGGTGCCCCAAAGCCGTGAGTGACGCATGGAAAATCATATCGGATCTGTGAAGCAAGAGATTGCACTTTTGTGTCGACCATTTGGACGTGTATCCAACTCATGTTCACAGCAGTGCTGACAGAGGTGGAGGATCTGTGAAGCAAGAGATTGCACTTTTGTGTCGACCATTTGGACGTGTATCCCTCTGATACCTGTGCAGGCGCTTGCTTTCCTTTCTTGAGCTAAAAGGGGCTTTCCCCCGCCCTCTTTTTAGGGTTTGCCGCCAAAAGAACTGCTCCGCGCTCAAGCCCCCTTCTCCCGCAGATCGTGTACCCGACCCACGGCATCGTCTCATACTTCTCTTTGCGCCCGCGCCTCATATATCTATAGATCCACTTTCCTCCTCCGACGGACCATGCAATGGCCCTCTTCACCTCATTGAAGCCCTGACGCTCCGTGTCGAAGAGGTTCTTCCTCTCCTTTCCTGCGCACCTGCGCGCCGAACGCGATGCCACCCGGCAGGGGCACGTCCATCCACTCATCTCGCACCCCCAGGGGCCGCGATGCTACGATCTCGGTCATCAACACCTCGCTCGCCTCCACATCCTGGAAAAAAACCATCCGCATAATGTCCAGCATACTCTGCCCATCTGCGCCGACAAGACGCCTCTGGATCACCTCCTCACCGCACACCCGAGACCGCTTGGCCGCAACCTTCTGGGTGCCCTCATTCCCACCTCCGGTTCCCGATGTCCCGAATCGTGCCGTACTCGCAGTTCCCCGCCCGAAGTTTCTCCTGAAGACCATTTCCACCACCTCCGGAAGGTCCTCCACCTCCGGAACCTGCCTCCTCATGCCAGTTCTCGACCAGCCTTGGAGACCCGCACCTGGTCCAACTCCTCAAACCGTACGCCCGGAGGTAGATCTTGCCGTCCTGGAATGTAGTCCCAGTACCGCGCCACCATACGAATGCGCGACAGCCTGACCTCGTTCTCGAAGAACTCGACCTGCCACTCATCCTCCCCAGGCTCATCCTGCAAAGCCCTTTCAGTCGGCTCAGGCGGATCTGCAACCATCCTGATGACGCCTTAGCCTTCTCGACAATCAGCGAGCTCACCGAGGCCCAACATCATCCTTCGGCTTCTTCACGCGGCCGTCAACACTCTTCACCTCCTTGATCCTTGCCACGGACACTTTCTCCAGCACCATCTGCACCACGCCCTCTCCCGGCCGTAGTTCCTGACCAAGATCCTCACTTCACCACCAGTCCCGTTCAATCATCGCTGCACCACTCCTCTCACCGCCAAACTGGCTACCGTAGTGATCCTTCCGCACGTACCCTTTGGCAGTTGGACCTTCAGGCCCGTTCGCATTAGCGTGTAGCTCCCGGCCGGCACCACCACCTGGTTCATCGCAAAAAGGTTCACTCCAGCCGCATCTTCCGTCGGCCTCTCCGGCAGCACCGCCTCCTCGCAGAGCCTTTGGGCTCCTCCTCTTTTCGCAAGCAGTGCCTCATCGCCGTCAGCCCGATCTCCTTGATCAGCTTCAGCAAAACCACCACCGCCGTGACCACAATCAACCACCAAAACTCTCCTCCTGCTTCGTCCTCGTCAAGCTCCTTTGCGTCTGCTAAATCCACACAGGTCGAGCCCACCACAAGAAGCCCAAGGACCTTCTCCAGTTGCTCATTCCGACCAACCTCCAGCTTCTTCACCTTGACGATCTTCACCTGGCCCTCGCCAACCTCCTCCGCTCCGGCATGGCGGTGTGTTACTCTGGCTGCCCTCTCTTCTGGGCTACCACGCGTCAGGCGTGCATTGCGCTCAGTACTGCGGAAAGTGAGTTGGCCGCCCTCAGGGGGTTGGTGGCCTGGTGGAGGAGCTTGAGGAAAGCCCGGCGGAGCTGCGGCTTTACAGTGATAGCAGTGCGGCCCTGGCCATTGTGAATGGAAGCGCATCAGAGCGGCGGCGCTAACGGAGGCGGTTCAGCAGAGGGCAGTCTTCAGCACGTTCCTGGACAGAGCTTGGTAGCAGATGGCTTCACGAAGCAGCTGGGGGCCTTGCCTTTCGGGCGCTTCAAGGAGTCGTTGGGTTTCTACAGCGTGGGCCACCGCGTCCCGCCGCCGCTCACAATGCTGCTGATGGTCAGGTCCATGATCACCTTCACCAAGGCGCTTATAGTGGAGCCCTTCCTTCGCCATCCTCCAGAGATACTGTAGCACCTTCTCTTCACCACGCCTTTAGGCCTCCTTGTGGTCCATTGACCCATGACGGCTGCGGGGTATGTCGGGCCGCGTTCGCGCCGAAAGCCACAGCAACTCCCCAGCCACGACCTGGGCTGGGGAGATCTTCTTCTTCACGAACTCCAATTACAGCTAATGTGCCACCCTTGACGATCTGATGTCTGTCCAGGAGGTCGGTCACGTAGCTCTGCTGATGCATCTTCACCCCACCGTCAACTGCGAATTCAAAGCCGCAGAATCTCAAATCCTCCGTGGCAGATGCCCACTCCGGCTCGCTCGTGTCCCAGGTTTCCCGGATCTTTGCCAACACCGCCTCCACCGACTTGCGAGCACCCGTCACCAGCATGTCGTCGATGTAGACCGCCATGTAGCCGATGGTCACGTTCTTCCCATTTCGCCAACTCTTCACCCGCCACAAATTGACCTCCTTTCCTTGGTCTTCTCAAACCAGCACACCCATGTGCCTTCCTCATCCGTCATCTCCCAGCTGATCTCGCCCATGGTCTGGTCGCGGTGCTTCGCCCAGTCTTTCGGGGAGGTGGTCAACCCGTAGACCAACTCCGGGCTCCACTCCTGAAAGATAGCAGGCGGATTAACCACCACAATGTCCTTGGAACGGCCCGGTGGCACCTGCAGGAAGGCCGTCTTCACGTCAACTCCCGCCAAGTCCCACCCCCGCTGAGCTCCTGCAGCCACCATCGCTCTCACCTGGGAAGCATCAATGCCTCCCATTTCCGACGCCCTGTAGCTGCTTTTCTTGTGAAAACCGCCGGGCACACGGTCATACGGAATGCCCTTCTCCAGTGCTTCCTTCTTCAACTCCTCCGCCTCCCATGGCTTGATAGCTCGAACCACGCCAGACTTCAGTAGGGCCGCTCTCTCTTCAACCATGGAAAGCCTCCAGGCCTCAATCTCCTTCTTCACATCTGCTAGGGCGTAGTCTTGGTCTGCAAGAAGACCTCTTCTTCCGTCGCCTTTTTTGCACAGGTCTCCTCCCGATCCAAGTCCTCAGCCCTCTGCATTGCTGCCAACCACGCCCCAACTCGAGCGTCCTTCCACCAACATCTCAACGGTCTTCTTCACCAGATCTGCGCCTCGTTCCTCCAGACGCCATTCGCCCTCAGGTCAGCCTCCCACTCTTGGTCCTCTAGCGCAGGTGGCCTTTTGGACGTAATCCTTCTCCGTGGACCGCCTTCTGCTCCAACCCCATCAACGGGTGGCCCTTCCACTTCAAATTGATCCTCCGTCTCAATCACGTCGGTGGTGTGGAAGAACTTTCCATCCTCCCCCTGAACGAAGTACGAAGATGCCGACATAGTAACGTCCGGCCCCAAAATGGTCACCGCCTCCCTGACCGCTTCCCAATCCTTGGTCTTGGTCTTCCCCCATCACCACGCTCCCGAAAGCCCTCAACGGCTAGCTCATGGCCTCAAACTGCGACCTCCACCTTCGTTCTCCGGCATGTCGCGCCGCCAGCGGCCATAGATTCTCTTCCACGCCCGAGCCCTTGAGCAGCGTCTTGGTCAACCTCTTGATGAAGCCCACCTCCGCTTTGGCCCAACCATTCATTTTCCACGAGCTGCCGTCAGTGAACGTCCGCATGATGAGGCGTTCCATGGCCCATTTCTTGGCCTTCTTGGACGTGAGCTCGCCTGACGGGAAGCCCATGCGTAGCTTGGTGGTCATCTTCGCAATGGCCTCCAGTGCTTCCCCCCTAGTCTTCACGATCTCAACCAGGGTGAGCTGTCGGACCTCAAAGTCCTCTTCCTTTTCAATCTTCTTCAGCCATTCCTCTCCGTCATCTGGCGCTGGCTCCTCCTCCTCCCCAACTACTTCCTCATCTCCCGCCGGGTCCAACTCAAGGTCATCTTGCCCCCGCGGTCCTTCCCAATCTCCTTCCTCCTCTTGGTAGCAGAGCACCGTGAAGAGGTTTCGCTGCTTCTCGATCTCCGCCTGCGGCGCCTTCTGGTCTTCTCCGATCATGCTTTTCGACTCCAAGATCTCGTGAGTGTCCAGGTCCACCGAGAGCCTCCATTTTACCGACTTCCAGGCCGGTCCTTCTTCCACCTCTTCATCTCCCTTACCACCTCCGGTACGTCTCCTTGACCAGGACCTTCCAACCATGCCAGGCGCTCCGGCGCCAAGTTCATGAGCGTCCTGCCCTTCCGGGTCAACAGCACTGTGTAGGTGCCGACAACGATATATCGTCCCACACCTTCTTGATCGGTTTGAACGGCCCTGCAAGGTCAATCGCCAACGTGTAGCTCTCAGGGCTCACTACCCTTCGGTGGTACCGTGCCTTCCCTGCCCCTTCCAGGCACGTCCGGCATCCTCTGTGGAACGGCAGGTGATCGTTCGCCAGGTGGGCCCGCCACTGCTCCGCACTCAACCTCTTCAGCTTCACCTGCTCCAAGGTCAGGCGCACAGCCATGGCTATCGCCCTCTTCATCCCCGGCGCCCAAGCAGCCCATTTCTTCGAAGCCGCCATCCTCGCCTCCAAATTCGTCTGCATTGGACCCTTATCTGAACCCGCCCCTCGAACACCGTCCAGCTGCTCGAGCGTCTCCATGTTCGTACCAATCGTGGTAGGCTTGGTCTTCACGTGGCCGAAGGGTCCTTGGTCGAAGTGGTACTCCTTCATGCCGTAGGCCTCCTCCGGGCAAACATTCCAGATGTCCACCACCGGCAGGTTCTACGCCCTTCTGGCTCACTCTGCCATTCCATAACTAGCACCCCCGTTGATCTGCTCCTTCATCTCCTTCAGCTCTGCCGCCATGCGCTGGTTCTGCGCGATCAGGCCCTTCATCATGTCGATCAGTTCCCGAGGAACACCACCAGTGCCTTCAGCACGTCCATGCCCTCCACCTCCTTCAGGAAGCTGAGCTCCGACATCGCATAGCGCCAGCGGTCCCTCTCCATGTCCTGGTTCCTCCACTGGCAGGTCCCGAGGTCTCATTGCCCTCAGTTGGGCCTCCTCCTTAGCCTTCTCCGACCAAAAAGGGTTCACCACCGGAGCCGCCAAGTCGCCGCTCTTCAAGAGCCCATACGCCGTGGGCGGCCCACCCGGGGCCTGGTCCTCTGGCTTGTGAGCCGCCTCCGCCGCAGTCCTTGCCGATGAGGACGAAAGAGCCTCCATGGCTCAGCACAGGTCGAGGTTTGGGCTCATAACCCTCTGATACCTGTGCAGGCGCTTGTTTTCCTTTCTTGAGCTAAAAGGGGCTTTCCTGCTTCCAATCATCCATCAACTTCCAAATCAGGGGGTTGTCCCCCAGAAAAAGTCTCATCCTCAAAGCGGATTTCAGGGTATCCAACTCGTGTTCGTAGCATAAGGGAAGAACGGGTGCTGACAGAGGTGCCCCAAAGCTGTGAGTGACGCATGGAAAATCATATCGGATCTGTGAAGCAAGAGATTGCACTTTTGTGTCGACCATTTGGACGTGTATCCAACTCGTGTTCATAGCATAAGGGAAGAACGAGTGCTGACAGAGGTGCCCCAAAGCTGTGAGTGACGCATGGAAAATCATATCGGATCTGTGAAGCAAGAGATTGCACTTTTGTGTCGACCATTTGGACGTGTATCCAACTCGTGTTCATAGCATAAGGGAAGAACGGGTGCTGACAGAGGTGCCCCAAAGCTGTGAGTGACGCATGGAAAATCATATCGGATCTGTGAAGCAAGAGATTGCACTTTTGTGTCGACCATTTGGACGTGTATCCAACTCGTGTTCATAGCATAAGGGAAGAACGAGTGCTGACAGAGGTGCCCCAAAGCTGTGAGTGACGCATGGAAAATCATATCGGATCTGTGAAGCAAGAGATTGCACTTTTGTGTCGACCATTTGGACGTGTATCCAACTCGTGTTCATAGCATAAGGGAAGAACGGTGCTGACAGAGGTGCCCCAAAGCTGTGAGTGACGCATGGAAAATCATATCGGATCTGTGAAGCAAGAGATTGCACTTTTGTGTCGACCATTTGGACGTGTATCCAACTCGTGTTCATAGCATAAGGGAAGAACGGGTGCTGACAGAGGTGCCCCAAAGCTGTGAGTGACGCATGGAAAATCATATCGGATCTGTGAAGCAAGAGATTGCACTTTTGTGTCGACCATTTGGACGTGTATCCAACTCGTGTTCATAGCATAAGGGAAGAACGGGTGCTGACAGAGGTGCCCCAAAGCTGTGAGTGACGCATGGAAAATCATATCGGATCTGTGAAGCAAGAGATTGCACTTTTGTGTCGACCATTTGGACGTGTATCCAACTCGTGTTCATAGCATAAGGGAAGAACGGGTGCTGACAGAGGTGCCCCAAAGCTGTGAGTGACGCATGGAAAATCATATCGGATCTGTGAAGCAAGAGATTGCACTTTTGTGTCGACCATTTGGACGTGTATCCAACTCGTGTTCATAGCATAAGGGAAGAACGGGTGCTGGACAGAGGTGCCCCTGTGAAAAAATCATATCGGATCTGTGAAGTGCACTTTGTGTGACCATTTGGAATCCAATCGTGTTCATAGCATCGGGTGCTGATCCCAAAGCTGTGAGTGACGCATGGAGATCTGTGAAGCAAGAGATTGCACTTTTGTGTCGACCATTTGGACGTGTATCCAACTCGTGTTCATAGCATAATGGAAGAACGGGTGCTGACAGAGCTGCCCCAAAGCTGTGAGTGACGCATGGAAAATCATATCGGATCTGTGAAGCAAGAGATTGCACTTTTGTGTCGACCATTTGGACGTGTATCCAACTCGTGTTCATAGCATAAGGGAAGAACGGGTGCTGACAGAGGGTGCCCAAAGCTGTGAGTGACGCATGGAAAATCATATCGGATCTGTGAAGCAAGAGATTGCACTTTTGTGTCGACCATTTGGACGTGTATCCAACTCGTGTTCATAGCATAAAGGGAAGAACGGGTGCTGACAGAGGTGCCCCAAAGCTGTGAGTGACGCATGGAAAATCATATCGGATCTGTGAAGCAAGATATTGCACTTTTGTGTCGACCATTTGGACGTGTATCCAACTCGTTGTTCATAGCATAAGGGAAGAACGGTGCTGACAGAGGTGCCCCAAAGCTGTGAGTGACGCATGGAAAATCATATCGGATCTGTGAAGCAAGAGATTGCACTTTTGTGCCGACCATTTGGACGTGTATCCAACTCGTGTTCATAGCATAAGGGAAGAACGGGTGCTGACAGAGGTGCCCCAAAGCTGTGAGTGACGCATGGAAAATCATATCGGATCTGTGAAGCAAGAGATTGCACTTTTGTGTCGACCATTTGGACGTGTATCCAACTCGTGTTCATAGCATAAGGGAAGAACGGGTGCTGACAGAGGTGCCCCAAAGCTGTGAGTGACGCATGGAAAATCATATCGGATCTGTGAAGCAAGAGATTGCACTTTTGTGTCGACCATTTGGACGTGTATCCAACTCGTGTTCATAGCATAAGGGAAGAACGGGTGCTGACAGAGGTGCCCCAAAGCTGTGAGTGACGCATGGAAAATCATATCGGATCTGTGAAGCAAGAGATTGCACTTTTGTGTCGACCATTTGGACGTGTATCCAACTCGTGTTCATAGCATAAGGGAAGAACGGGTGCTGACAGAGGTGCCCCAAAGCTGTGAGTGACGCATGGAAACTCATATCGAATCTGTGAAGCAAGAGATTGCACTTTTGTGTCGACCATTTGGATAGCATAAGGGAAGAACGGGTGCTGACAGAGGTGCCCCAAAGCTGTGAGTGACGCATGGAAAATCATATCGGATCTGTGAAGCAAGAGATTGCACTTTTGTGTCGACCATTTGGACGTGTATCCAACTCGTGTTCATAGCATAAGGGAAGAACGGGTGCTGACAGAGGTTCCCCAAAGCTGTGAGAGCGTAATGCTCTTTGTCTCGGCATGATGAAGTTTGTGTGTGCGGCCACGGCAGACTTGCTCAGGCCTATGCCTATGGCATGAAGCTCCAGAGAAGTCATGATCAATCCAGGGGACAGAAATCTCCACTGCAAAGAGACCCTGATTCATGGCCGAGGCTTCTGTATCCCAAAAACTCCGCCCAAGTTGATAAAAGGCATCCTTTCAGCCCTTGACCCAGCGCACACACACACACACGTCGCCCTCTGTCCTCCTCGGAAGGGAAGGGTTCTCATTCAAGTGGGACAGCGCGAACTGCATCGCGATCCTGAGAATGATGTACTGACTCCAGCAGGATTGCTAAAGACAAGACCCTGGCACTTTGGGGTAGAAATGTGGTTCTTCCCAAGGGAGCGCAATAGGAAACCGCATCCAGCTGTTGACCTTGAGGTGTGTTGCCTCTAACTACAAGCGACGAATATTTTCGTCACAGCGAACTGCTTGTTGCTTCGCTACTACAAACCACGACCAGCAAACAATCACCCAGAACATCTCCCTTTGACAAAAAACCTGTCTGTCGCAAAGTCAACGGAAACCCGATGCACTCCTGCTGAACATGGAACCCCAAACCCCCTGCCAGCCAAACAAGCCCAAACAGTTGGTTCTGGGTCATGTTGATTTTACATCCAGGGACCCCATTCAACAGACGTTCCACGGTCCATTCATGCTCGACGCGGCCAACGGGGCAGCTCCACCCCAAACCAGGCATCCTGAGATTGGCAAATCTTCAGCATATCACTTGGCGCCTTGACACGTCTGCCAATGGATGACTTTGGGCCACCCGAGGCCGCCGCCGGGTGTCCCCGAACTGCACCGAGGCGCGCGAAGCGGCGGCCGCGGGTGAGGGGCTCCACGCCGTGGTAGAGGCCGCTGCGGAAGATGATCAGGTCGCCCGTGAGGAGCTCCTGGCGCACATCGCGCCTTGACCCTTTGCCCCATTGGACATTTAATCCTTTGATTGGAGCCAGAAGGTCTTCCAAACAGGGAAGCTGTTCTCCTGTTTGGTTGGTTCCATCTTTTTGTGGAATCAAAAAGGGGGCCTCGAAATGTGTGGGGGGGGGGGGGACTCTTGATTAGAACTGTCGATCAGAATTGTTGCTCAGAAGCGTCGCTCACCAGTCGATTGGAAGTGTCGATCATCATGCTGATTTCATCTGTTCCGAATGGAATCCTAAGTGGGGCCGACAGCCACTAACGCCAGGAACCCACCCCCTCCGGGTGGCTTGTCAGCTTCCTGTGGTTTTCCGGAAGAAACAAGTATTCAAAGGGGGCCCAAGTTTTGCCAATCCCCTCATTAGCTGTCAGCTCAGCTGTGGAAGAAAGCAGTCAATTGGAATCGGCGAATACGGCTGATTGCTTCGATATTGTTTTTGGTTGTCCCTGCTATGATGATTGGTGCTATGTCTTGAACATGTTCGTCACTTCAATTATACCAATGCCATCATTGCTGGCATCCTCATGGTGCTTGTCGGTAATCCTAAAAGTGTTTCTGTCGTAGTCTCATAGCCAAGTTGTGTTTGTCCTCCTTCTGGTCCTGGTTGGGGTCATAGCCCTCTGGTGCTGTCATTGGTTGTTCGAATCTGCTGCCCAAGGAGGAAGTCTTGGATGTTTGCTGGCAGTATTCTGCAGGAAATTCAGAGGGCTTGTACCGGCTGCGAAACCAAGACCCCAATGAGCAGGTGTTCCAAAGGGCTCACAAATCAAGCAAATACGCTGGGCAGGGTGCTCGAATGCAATCGAAAGCGCTTATTTGTGCTAACCGCCCCAAACAAGAAATGCCGCGTTTGGTCCTGGCAGTACTGCCGGCCAACATCGCGCTTCCCCGGCTGCACAAAGAAGCGGCCCCCCTCGTAGTCTGTGCCTGGCTCGGACTCACTTCAGGGCAGAGCGAAGTCTACAAGGCCAAGCACACTCAAGGAAGTGCACAAAGGAGAGCGATGCCAAGGATGTCCTAAGTTGTCTGTTTGCCAATCTGAAGGGCGCTTGAGGAGAATGGCCCCTTGAGGAGAAGGGTCTCTCATGGGGTCCCACAGATTACAAGAATCCTTCTGCGGGAATAAGTATGGGATGAGAGATCCCAGGGCTTACGCCAAAAGTCTCTCGCGGTGGGTGAAGGAAAACGCCGCACTCGCAGGTTGATGATTTGATCCACAAAGGCTGCTAGTATAGGTCCAGCGCCTGCAAATTTGCGCTTGGGAGGACTGGCTGCCTTTGTTCAACTTGGGACCTCTGCGCCGTGGGAGGCAAGGACAAGGGGGCAACATCTTTATGGGGGCCTGCGCTTTGCGGATCGAAGAGGCCCTTTTGTTTTGTTCATGGGATTACATTGGAAAATGACCGGCCACAAAGAACAGCTTGATTTTCTTGAAGTCTGGCATCTATCTGCCGGTTCTTGCCATTCCTCTCTTGTGGCTCGGAATGACTCATCGCATTGCTCGCTGTTTCGACCCCCGCTGGTGAGCGTCGCAAGGATGAGCATGATTTTCTAACCTTTCGGTCAGTTGCAGAGTCTCCTCTCCTTGTGGAATAGTGGGAAGACTGAGAGGTTCCGTCCCTTCCCCTGCTCCCCCAAATTAAACATACACTTGTAGTGACTTCTTGTCGGTTGTTTGTCCATTTTCCCGAAAGGGGACCATGTGCCCGGGCGCCTGGGTCGCTCAGAGGCAACATGGCCTGGAAGGGGAACATCACGCTGCCCTGGCGCAAGGGGTCTAGAGGGAGACAAAACGCACAGGAATGCGAGTCAAGGACAAAGTCGGAATTCTCCGAAATGCGGCCAGTAAACTCGCGGAACTCCAAAACAGAGGCACGCTGAAATGGCAACGGGGTCATGCTGGTTGTTCCGACACAAACCCACCTCCCAGCCAGTCGCAAGGGATGACCAAGCCTCGGAAGCGAAATCCTCCAAAACATCTGGTTGCCCTTTTCTGAGATGTGTCCCTTCTAGTCTTCAAAAGGGGCTGGTCTTGTGGCTGGCTCGCCAAGAGGGGGGCCGACGGCTTGACCATTTGCAAAACCGGCAAAACCGGCGCCTGCAGGTCACGGTGCGGCTGCATGCACCCGGTGGGGCAGTATCTCACTTGGGCCAGGGATGGATTTGGCGAAGCGTGCACGAACGGTCGGGGTACTGTCGAAATGGTTCAAAATGGTTCCTGGGTTAGAACCGTACGAAGACGCATTTGTTCAAATCTGCTTCAAGCACTTTGATGCATGAAACTACATCTGGGCACGGCTTCCAGGCATCTTTGGTGTAAAACCATGATTCAACATCAACTCATTGTGACGTTTTTTGGAACGGGGTCCGTGGCAACTGGCCCTTGAAACCAAGTTTGCTCGACCCTGTCATCCATGCCTTGCCTATGAGGGGTCCTCAGTGCCGTTGGCAACAGCTGGCTGCCTTGTACCCCTTCAGACAAAGCTTAACCGACACACGGGGGTTCGCCACTGGCCTGGATGAAGCACCTCATGGCTGAGTCAAAGGGATTGACCAACCAAAGATATCTGATACCCGCCACAGCCGCTTTAAGAAAAATTAAGTGCCTTGTGACTCTTCCAGCAGACACAAACGTAGGAAGCCTGCCCGCGCCAGTCCACCCCCACCTCAGGCAAATGGAAGTAGGCAGCCGCTGCGGCGGGGTGGCAGATTTGCAAATCTCCCACAAGTCCAAGATCCTAAGTTCGTCTCATTGGAGGTTATCTCATGGAATGTTGGGTGAACTATCATTTGTCAGTCCAGAAGTTTTGATCCCTAAGGAGACTTCGTCATGGGTGAGGTCGCAAGCCCCTTCTTCGCCTTCCACAAGTTCTTACTTGCACGTGTGCCATGGTCGAATCTGGGGCATACATGGATCATTTAGGAACCCTGATGCTTGTTCCTTCGTGGGGTCAAAAACATGCGCAAGGAAACAAATCATAAACCAAGATAAAGGTCCAACTGGTATTGCACATGCACAAAGCACAGGCCATGGTGTCACTGAGGGCTTGGGCGCAAAGCTCACGCCTTCCAACAGAAATTCGCCTCAGCCCCAGGGGGCCAAGGGCGCTCAGATCTTGTTTTGCAAAGGGAATCATGCGCTGAGAAACCACCAGCAACCCACCCAGGCCCAGCCCAACCAGCAACCCAAGCAAGGACACGTCAGACACTCAACCTGCCATGTCTGAGACTAGACTCGTGTCTGAGACTAGCCCAGTGTCTGAGACTTGCCTCAGGCCCAGCCCAACCAAGCAAGGCTCATCCCAGCCCGCCCAGCCCAGGCCCTCCAACCAACCCAAGCCCAGCCCAGCCCGCCCTGTCTGCTGGCTCCATGACTCACTCCTGGTCCTGTGCATCGCCTTGCCCTTGCCTGAATTGCCACTTGACCAGCTCTGCTGCTTGCAGTCGAACCACAGACGCTACGCGCTCGGCTCACCGAGGCGGGCAACGCGCAGCGTTTACAATTATGGAGGTTGTCATAAGTCGAAGCATGGTCCACAGTCGTACCCCGGGGAGTGTCCCAAAAGTGGACCCTTCATACTATCTTTACCTCCAAATTTGCTATAATCCCATGGTCAAAGACACGCCGACCTGGTTGCTGCTTGCCATGGGCCTGAACTTCGCAGCCAAGCGCAGCCAGCATGAAACAAAAAAGGCGGAATTACGCAAACCGGACCGGGTCTTTCCAGATGTGCCCAGCTCAAAGCTGGGAAGGCCCTTTCCCTAGCTCGCATTCTGGCAAGGTCAAGAGTAATCTTGCTTCAGGGTGACCAATCCTCTGCTCCTATCTCAAGTTATGTATCTCAAAGGCCATCCAAGCTTAAGCCCATCTGCGTACTTCTCTTCGCTTTGTCTGCGACGAGCTGCCGAGGCGGAAACTCCTCCAACTTCAGCTGCTTCGGGGCAATCTCGGCCCGAAACATCTCCTTCCTCGGCCAGTGAGCGCGGGGGGCCCATAGCCGGTTTTGCTCCGCACTCCTAAAATCCCGGCACATAAATGGCCCAGCTCGCCCCAGCCTTTCCGCATTGCCGCAGGGGTACCAAATCGTGAAAGTCTTCTGGGGTCTGCCGAAAACATGCAAATCGAAGGCGCTTCACTTCAATGTGCTTAGAGATGAAAACCAGAATCCACTGCATTAATTCTGAATTTTGAGACGTTTGCCCACCGACGGCTGCGTGTTCGCTTAAACCTGCCCTTTCAGCTCCGGGGCGAGCGTCTGGGTGTTGGCGACGGGCACCAGCACCTCGTAGAGCGCGGCCCGCAGGGCGTTCAAAGGCGAGGGCAGAGGCTCTGCGAGGTACGCGAACTTGCCTCGGTCAGATTTCAGACAACGCGAGTTGTTTGTTTTTGGGACTTATTGACCTCTATTTTCAGGCAGTGCTTCAAGGTGTCTTTGGGGTATTGTCCAGGGCTAGTTTGCTGGTAGGGTGCTGGGGGCGGGGCCAACATAAGCCTTAAGCAAATCAAGAGCTGACATGCGCCTTAGCTTCTTAGTCTTGGGTCTCTTTTTTATGAAGTGCTGCTGCCTATACAACCACCGGCTTACCAATGAGCCCAGGAACGACCGGCGAAAAAGGAGCTCAAAAGTGACTGGCCGGTGCTTTACAAAACACTAGCGCTCCTGCTCCCATCCCTGCCAGGGCAAAAATACTCAAGCATTCGGAGCCATGGCAAGAGGAACCAGCGGCCGTGGCCCAGTTTGTTTTTTCCTCCGAACTGACATTGACGCGCGAACACATCATTCTCTTCCCCAACAGCACTCGGCCTCGCAGGCCATTCTCGCTCACAGGCGCGCGGTTTCGAACCCGCCGCAAGATTACGCTCCCGGCAGTGTCTTGCAGCCATGGGCATCCACGTGCGCGCTATGGCAAGCGCATCCGCTCAAGTGCACCGCTCGGCACTGCACACACGCCTGCCACGCGGTCAGCACGCCTGCTTGAGTGCATACGCTCAGGCCGGGGGTGTGGATGCCATCCAAAGCACTTCCTGCCCATTCTGACTGGTTGTCGCCATAGCACTGTCAACAGGTCGATACTGATTGTGATTGGCTGCGGCAATGCAAATTCATGTCCACAGACCATTGCTGTTTTCTGCCAATGGCTTCTGCTTTGCCTGCCTCTGGCAATTGCGCGGTCACAAACCAGGGCGGCGCTCGGCAGGTCCGCGCGGCTCCAAGTGCTACAGCTTAACCTGCTGTTTGCTGGGTAGCCCCTGCACTCCCTGCCTGCCATTTGAGCGGTGGGAACCTCTTACAAAAAAAAGAGTTGCAATTTATGGAACAAGAAATCAAGGGAATGGTTTGGAAGCGCTTTGGTGCCAAACAGCAGGAACCCCCAAAAGTGGTTGCTAGCCCCCGGTGCCTTTTGGTGGCCTTTGGTGGCCCTTATCGCCCTCGAGCCGCTCCCTTTTTCCCAGTCTCAGGCTCCAAATGAAAACGGCCACTGAAACCTAAGGGACCTAGGCTGCTGAGTGGTCACTCCGGAACGGGGCGCGCCAAGCTGCCATAGCCGAAGTTCATGGCCTTCCTGGGGCTCAAAATTTGCAAATCGACGGGAATCCCAAGGTCCCAAACGGAGTGCATTTCGCGCGCGGCATCGAAAAGGAGAGCCCTCCAAAACGAGGGTAATTTGGGTTCAAGTTGTTCTTAAATGTCCTGTCCATAGTTGCACTGTTTGAAGGAGGGGAGGTTGATGAGCCCACTGGTACAGTGGATCCTCCAGAAATAAACACGCGCAACTAGCATACAACTCCAGTCTGTGGCGTTGCGGGGCGCAGGATGTGCTCAATGTACGTGGATTCCGGAGATCTATTGTCCAAATTCTGCGGGCATGCTCAATTCCTGAAATATGAAGCAAGTAAACAGACCAAGAGGAATTCCAACAAGTGTTTGCCTACTTCGAATATTCATTTTGAGAACCCACTGTGGCACTTCACTGTGACATGCTTCGCGCCGAGCGGATTCACCTCCGACTGTATCCAAGGTGCGTTTCTCTGCAAACCGATCGGAAATTCGTCAAATATCTATGAAAATTGCCCCTTGTTAAAACGCAAGCATGACTCATAAGCCGTCGTCGGATACGTCACAGGCCCTTGTCGACTGGGAAAGTGGAGAAGCGGGGACAAGTGTTGCACGCCAGAACTGACGCCCCCTCCTCAATCGGATACCCACCACATCTCCAGATACCCGGTATCAATAAAAAGATGCAAAAGTGCAATGCCATTCTGGGGCAAATGGCGGAACCGCCATTGGTAAAAAAGCTGTCGCAAAACGAAGGGTCAAGTATTGCAATGTGTCCATGAGTGGAGGCATGCCTACTTCCAGTGTATCCTTCATTTTCGTCACCAATTCTGACCTCGAGGATTGATAGGCGTGTTCACCTGCGTTTATTGGTCCTGGGTGCCCTTCCCCCCATATCTATGTCACATGTTGCCAATGGAGGACCTCACGCGATGGCAGCGTGGTTCACCAGATTCGTGGGGAAGACATGTCAACACAACGTTTGCGGAATCACTTTCAACCATCCAAAGAGGGCTTTGCAAAACACCCGTCTCATAGCGGAAAAGTTCTAGACACGTCGCCACATGCAAGGAAATCTGTTCGACACAGTTTTGCGGCCCAGATCCTTCCAAAACACAGACACAACAAAGAGGAAGTGTGTATGTGCACATACACGTATGTGAATGTGTATATCTGTGTGTGAGATGCGATGCTCAAGAAAACTTCCCCCAAACTTCGCCTCCCACATCGCCCAGGCTCAGATCCACCACCCGCATTGCGGGAAGGGCATCCAGGCGGGTGGGGGTGCAGTCGATGAAACCCTCCGGCCATAAGCTCTCCAGGTCCCCCTGCACCTGGGCCAAGCGGCGGGGGAAAGGTTGGAAGGGGTGGAAGGGAGTTGGAGGGACATGTAGCAATGTCGAGCGATTTCTTGCAAAGGATTCCGTTGGAGTAGTGGTTTCCAAGATGCCTGCGCTAAGAGAGACAAAAGTGTCCAAGACATGGGAAGGTGTGGCCATCCCCTCGCATGCCTCTCTCAGTCTGGGATATGTCTTTCTTGAGTGTATCTTGCCCCCGGAGCGGAACGTAAACCCTTTTGCAAAGGAAATGGCAACAAAGGAAAGTAGTTCCACGAGAAGCATTCACTTTGGCCAATCGGGGTTTTGCTACCCCCTGCTCACATTGCCGAGCAGGCGCGAGGCTGCGCAGCCTTTCAATGGTGTCCTGAGGCCCACCCAAAACGGAGAGAGGCTCCCGCAATAGTCTTTGTGGATGGGTTCGACAGGGTTGCTCCCCAAAGGTTAGCCGGGGGAAGCTTCCAGTCCCGCACAAGTTTGCCTCTCATCCGGGTGAATGTTGAGGACACAAGACACATTGCCTCCAAGCGTGTTGGCTGTATTCAAGGCATGGTATTCAGCCAACGAAACTCCATGTGAAGCAGCCACGAGCCGCTCCAGGTCTGCTTGAGTTCAAGTGCGTGTTTTCCAAAGGAGGGGACCCCGAGAAAAAAATGGCGCAACTGCACATCTCCTTCCCTTTGAAAAATCCACTGAAAAAAATGGCTTCTCAATTCTAGAGAAGCATCCACACGACAAAGCTCCGTGTCTTGCTTGCTGCTGAAAGAAGAACGTCCTGGGGGCATGACTCAACATGAACTCGTGTTGCAGTGATGGCCTGGGTTCATCATCGCAAGCCTTTGGATAGTAAGCCTAAAGATAGAAGAGCTTCAAGAGCAAACGACGGCATGCTTCGTGTTAAGAGTCAGTACATGCAGGCGTAGAATCGGCAACAACACGTTGACATTGTATGTCTGCACACACATTGACCGTGAATGTCTGCACCAACGGAGAGCACTACAGGTCAACCAACCATACGTACACCATGATACATCACAGGGCCTCACGACTTGTGCTCTACTTGCTTCATCTTTAGGGAGTTCAGCGTCGACCCGTCGACCCGTGTCTTTTGCTGAGAGAAGCGCGCAACCTGCAGCTATCGCAACCGGCCGCTTGCTCCTGGCTCAAGACTTGCTGCAGCACCACAAAGCCCTGGCCATCGGGGATCTGGGGTTGAAGCTCAACCCACGCAGGGCTCTCTCCCTCGTCGCGGAACTGGCCCCCTGTTTTGGCTCTTTCGAGAACACCAAGACGGCACCAACCTCGAGGGGGGCCCCACTTTTGACACACGTCACGTGTCTCTATGCTTCCCCCGCAGGACTCTTTGACATATCGTCGTTTGTTCTCTCATATTCTCCAATGCATCCATGGCAGGACTGTGTGATTCTCCGTCCCCTCGACCCACCCCGTGCTTTTCCCACAGCAAAGGGGAGAACAAGCGAGCGCTTGTCGTATTAACCTCTTACGGAGGTTTGATCGCGGCCGACCTCGGGCTTATCCTGGGATGACCCCCTTCCAGGGCGGCTAGGTTTCGACACCTTTCCGACGCTTGCTCTCCAGGACTTGGCCCTTCCCATTTGTTGCCAAAGATGGCCATCCACACGCTTTTCTGGGCGTGGGAACGGGATGGTCATTACCCTTCTCGAAAAAATCAACCCCTTCCCCGAAAACCCGAAAACCCCCCAACCCCCAAGCCCCAAGCCAACGGGTCCCAACTCGTGGGCCGGCCTCGGTGTCCAGGGCCCTTCGCTGCTCCAGGAGCCGTGCGCGTGCTTTGGCGCAGGTCTCCTCTTCCAGGCGCGAAGCCCTCAGATGCCGCGTGCAGCTTCTAAGCTGCCGGGTTTCTTGAAAAGCCAACCACTTTTCCAGGTTTCTTGTCTTCCAGGTTTGTTGAAAAAGTATCCAACTCCTGGTAGGGCAGTTACACACTATTGTGGAACTGATGAACAGTGGAAACTGCATCCAATGAAGCTGTCAAAAACGTATTGGATGTCATGTTCACAGCTTCTGAAAAGGCCGGACCCTCTGGTTCGACAGAAAGTAGGTGGGGAAAAACAACACAAGTTCCAACGAGTGCAGAAGCTGAGGAAACAAGATGAAGCTTCAAAAAGGAGAAAAGCTTCGAACTCTTCCAACTAGTGATGAATATTCGGTAAGAAAGTCTCTCATTGGAAGTCGATGCTCCAGCTGGGAGCATATTGGAAAAAAACTTGCAGCTCCACTTGGTGTGTGCCAGAAGGACAAGGCAAATATACAGAAACATATCATTTTGCTCAGTTGCCAGGTGTGTTGCAATGTGTTGGGCAGAAAGGGGGTTATTTTAAAGACCCGGAAGTTCTAGCCCGACCTGATGCAGGTCCGATGAATGTGGGTTCCTTTTGGCTCCAACCTTCGAAGGCTGTACGGACGCCCCTCGGTGACCACTTTACCTGCTAAAGCCACAATTTGTCTGAAGTGAATACGGGGGTGGGGGTCAAGCATGGCTGTATACGGTCCATGGTCCAATTGGCTGGCCGCTGTGCAAGTGTTTTGTGCGATGCCCTTTTTAGCGGCCTATGATTGCCATCCTTGAAACATGCAAGTGCTCTGCTATATGACTACTTGCTGAAGGGAACAAATCAACTCAATGGAAGGGAGCAAGTTGCCTTTGCATACTTACACACCTGCCTCCTTCTGCGGGAAAATACCTTTGCCGAAAGGCCCCTGTGGGTGCCACGGGAAAAGACAGGAAGGGTACTGCCTTCAAAACACATCCATAGGATCTTTGAAGGACGGTAGGCAAAGCCTCCTGAAGCGCTAATGAAGATACATACCCAATCAACCATGTTCATCGAAAATAGCTGCTCGTGCTTTACTTGGTGACTCCCCCGTGCACACACATGCTTTGCCTTTTGTTGGTTCAACAAACATCCATCTGCTTCCAACAGCTGAAGGGGCTATGAGGTTCTGAGGTGACGCCAAGTACTACACTGCACGCCGAACCATTAACGTACAGTAGGAACCTCTGAAGTTTGTTGTGTCTGGAGTCTCTGTGCTTTGCGAGCATGACCCCAAATTTCGGGGCTTCCTTCTGTGAATCGTCAAGGAAACTATTCACTTGAAGGCGATCTTCCCGGCCTCTCCGCGTCCATGAACTCGAGACGGGCCGCATCTTGGGCCAATGAGCCGACACGCCGAGATCGCGTCTTCCCAGCTCCAAAGTTGAGCTTACGCGCCTCTGAGAAAATGGGCTGGGGGGGCTGGTACAGCACAGCAGGGCGTGGAAAAAGTGTGGAGTTTTGTCCCACCCTTGTCCCAAAACGTATCGTCGGCTGCTTGCGTCAGCTGCGCACGTGGACCAGGATGAATATCACGCCTGCAAGGTTGCAGCCCATGTAGTCCGGCAAAAAGCGGCTGTAGTCTCAGACCAGACAAAATAGGTCTACATCTACCCCAGTGCACTAGGAGTTTCTTCAGATGGCAATGACTTCCCTGCCCAATATGACTTTGCTAAGCTGGTGTGCTAATCGTTGTTCCCCAGACACCTGGGGTCCTTCGCTGCAGCTCGACTCTCCCCCCTCGAGCCTCTGGAAGATCATACCCGAGCACCCTGGCGCAGGCCCAATTTGCGAGTTGAGGGTCCGTTTTTTTGTGCAGGGAAAGGCCAAAGTCCACACCGAAACTGTGATTCGGGCACGAGCCTGTGCCCAGGCAATGGGTAAGTTGGGGTAAACAAGCCACCAAGAAAGGTTCCCCAAAAGCAAACCAATCCCCGGCCCCAAAGATCAGGGTTTCCCACACACCAGAGAACAACAACCAAAAGAGAAATACCAAAGCAAGAATACAAGTACCCGCAACCTTGACCGACGATGAACCGCACGGGCGATCCCCACCAATCTGCCCCGGGCCGATGTCTCTTTCTCCACCGACACGAAGGTGATCGACGCGGGGACCCGGCGACGCTCATCCGAGGCGCGACGGACCCGCAAACTTGAGCCAAACACCACCGGTCAGTCACTATCGCGACTTCCCAGATGATGGTTTAAACCATGGCTAATCACACCCCCCTCACGAGGAGCCCGTCATCTGACGGGTGGAGCGTGCCATTTTACTGATAGGATTTAACTGCTCGCATGCGTCCGCAAACAGCTGGACACTGCCGCCGTCAGCGGTGGAGCAAACCCACAAAGGCAGTCGCGCGACATCCCGGGCATTAAATTCCCGCCACCACCCCGAATTAATCGGGGTAACGCTGTCCAACATACCTCGTGGAAGAGTCCACATGACGACACTGGGCCACAACTGTTTGCATCGTATGTCCACCAGTACCTCTTGCCTATCGGCAAGAGGTACTCCTGACCATGCGTGCTTGAAAAAACACACAAATTCCCCAAGCCTGGGAGTGTCCTCCACCAGCTTGCATCCCCTCTCACTCATACTGCTTCACGGTGACCATCACCAGCAGCCAAGCAGCAGTGCAGGAGGGACGAGAACAACACGCCTCAGCGGTGCGGGAGGGTCCCCGCAGCGCCAACCATCGGAGAGCGGGCGCAAGCCTATCGGCCGCTACCCTCGTGTGAATCAGCCTAACGGCTATCATCACGCCTCCTCCGGTCACGTCCGCCCCGCGCACGGTCCCTGTCACGATCCCTCTCGGATCTCCTGCGATCATCTCTCCTTCGATCTCACTCATCACCGCGATGATCCCGACGATCGTCTCTCCTTCGGTCTCGATCTTCGTCTCTCGCGGTCGACACCTGCGCCTCCTCGACTCTCGAGAATCCCTGGTGTTCTGAGTCCTAACAGTTCGCCACGATCTGGTTGAGAGCTTCGGGAGCATCGTCTCCACTCCCCTTTTCCCTCTTGACCTCAACAGCCCTCGGAGCCTGATCGTTCCCTGCTTTCGGAACTGGAGTTGCCTTCCCCTTCGCCTCCGCTTTTGGGGCCGGAACCTCACTGATCTTTGGGAACGGCGTCGTCTTAGCTTTTGCACTTGGCCCAGCTCCTTCAACCGCTATTGCGACCCAAGATTTCTTCGGTTGAGCCTCAGGTGGGTCAACCTCCATCGGAGTCGGTCCAGCATCAGCCTTGGCCTTTGCCTTTGGAACGGCGGGGCTATCGCCCTTGCCGGATCCCTTGCCTGATGCCTCACCTGACTTTCGTCGTGGGTCGGAAAGACTATCGCCCTTACCACCCTTTTCACCTTTCTTCCCTTTTCCTTTTCCGCCCTTGGTGACCGGCTCCTGCTTTGGACCTGCAGCATGATGCACCGACAGAAGCTCGTCGATGTTCACATCTTGCGGCTCAGGTTGTTCGCCACCAATGACGGTCCTCACCTTGTCGTCACTAACGTAGACGAAAGGGTCGCGAATGGGGAGAGGAGGCTCCGACCGGCCCGCGCTGATCGCCTTTTGCACCTTTGCGATTGCCTCCCTCAACCTTTTCTTTTCGTCATGCCCCGCCGATGACGCCATGTAATTCCTGATATCAGCCATCAACCGATGGCTAGCCAGGATGTCTCCGTCCTTCCTATGGGTCGGATACATCGGAGTCAAATGTCCCGCAGCAGCACCGATCACATAGGCCATCGGGATGTAGAAGGACAAGTATGTGTCATGACGAGCGAACTTCCTAACGGAAGTCGTCATTCGTCTCCCCCACTGGGCCGCATGCGCAGGGTTCGCACGGAAGTACTCAGTCACCGACTCAAATCTATCGATTTGGTTGGTTTTGATGAGATGCTTCGCCACCCACTTCTCCACGAAGGCGTCCGATGCCGAGATTCCCGACACGTAGGAATACTGAAAGAGCACCTTTGCCATTTCATCCCACGCCACGTCGGCGCCGCCCTTGTCCTCCCCGAGGTAGGGTGGCAACCGGATGCCACTCTGCACCGCAAGTTCCTCTTGATGACCCCAACCACATTGGAAGCGATCCTCTCCCCCTATCGGGAGTAAAGTCACCATAGTCCCAAACGCGATGATACACTATCGTGTAGTCATCGAACATGTACGCGGCCTTCCATGCACCCATCTGGATCTCGTCCCTAACAGCAAGGTCTTCCTCCTCGTCAGATATACGGGCCCGACCAGTGACCAATGCACCCAAAGATCCACCATAACCACCACGTACCTACCTGAGTAGTTCCGCAGCCTGTCCCTGACGTACCACGAAAGCGATACTTCAGCATCAGGGCGCAGAGGCTCCGCAATTGGAACCAGGCCCTCATCCATTCTCCCATCACCGATTGAGTTGTACGCCTTGTGATCAATATCTCGATCATGGCCTTCCCATTCCGCCTCCTTTTCCGCCTCCTTTGGAGCTGGACCGCCTCCTGAAGTCCTGGAACTTCATCACAACGTATCCCACCATAGGAAGCTCATCCCAGTGCATCTCGCACATGAGAGATCCACCTCTCTGTACCCACGTCGGACGGCCTGATAACTCATGTCCCGTCCGATCCGCGTTAACGGCCACCAAGCTGGTGTGATCCGTGAGGAGTACGCCAGCTTCGTCGTACATGGCCATCAGCATGACCTCAACCTGCCCGACCGGGAGAGCCTTGAGTTGATGACCAAGTCATCAAACTCACACGTGAGCAGCTTCAAAGCCTGTGCAGCCTCCCTCCCTGCGGTTGTGGCCGCCACCGCCGGATCATAACCCGGAATGTACTCGCCCATCCTGCTCTTCGTGGGAACCACGATCTGGCACGTTTTAACTTCATCAGGCACAAGCCCAGCAGTTCGCACTTCCTGCCTGATCTCCTGCCTATCGGCAAGATAATCCTTCTTTCCGTCCATGATCACGAGGTTGTACGTCACCTTCCTCCTGCTTTCGTCAACCTGGTTGGGGGCGTACGGATTGATCGGAGCAGTCGGACTCAAAGTGGCGCTCCCCTTCCGAAGCACAAATGCTTCTTGTGGAAGTTCACCACCTCATTCGGCTGCGTGAGGGCATATGCTCGATCCTCCGCCTCCGGCTTGTCATAACTCGCCTTTCCACCCCACCTCGCCGCAACCAGCTCGGCAGACTTTACAGGGTCAAGCAGGTTTCCCGACCGTTCGGGCATGTCGCTCAGCTTCCTGGTCAGCTCATCTATCGATGCCGTCAGGTCCTCGGTCGTCACGTTGAATGGATCAACTGCCGCCCTGTCCTCCTGACCAACGTCAGGAAGCCTGGCATCCCCATTGCAGCCCTCTCGGCCTCCTCAGCTTCCGCCTGCGTGGCCACGGCCCTGGGGATCAAGATCCTTACCCGCCTAGCCTCAGTATCCCGAGGCTTGGGCTCACACATTCCAGACTTGAACAGTCCAGATGAACCACCGTCAAGCCTCTGAGTCCTCTCTCGGGAACGCTTTTGTCCACGTCCATGTCGTCCCCTTCTCCTCCGCCATGGATAGTTTCCCTATGTCAGGAAGCGTCTCATCATCACCCCTTCCTGAGCCGGTTCCCCTATCGGGGGCCTGCTCGGTCCTCTGTTGTCCTGACGAACTCGCCTCCGGGTTCTGCTCGTCCCCATCATCAACATGCGGCCGCTTTCCCCGTACGATCTTCGTCTTCGGGAACTGCAACACCTCCAGCCATGTGATGCCCGGGCCAAGTAGCTCCATCCGGCTCCTCTTCAAACCACGATTTCCCGAACGGGTTTCCATCTCTCTCGAGGATCTGCTCCCTATCGGCAGTAGACCCCGAGTGAGACAACGCTGAAACGTGGGAAAGCAAGATCTCAGGCGCTGACTGCGCCAGCGTGTCAGACATCTGCTCCCTTGTTGGAAGAGTCCGCAACTCCGGAGCAAGATGGCCAGCGATCATGCTGAAAGGCGCGGTACCCAGCCGCTTGCCCAAAACCGCCTCGTTCAACGCATTGAAGTACTTTTGAATGCAGCTTTTCCAGCATCGCCGTTGCCGCCATTAACTGAGGATGGAACATAGGCATCCGCCATGCGCGCCCAAGGGCGCTGAGCGTCGCCACCAACAGATGTGAAGACGCTACCTCCGGCACCCAGGTCGGATCATCCAGCGGGATGCGCTGACCAGTCTGCGCATTCAAAAGAGTAGCCCTTACTCCTGGCGCCCGAAGACAGTCGTACGCTCTCCGGTTTGGGTCACTAACAGCCCCACGAACCATGTAGTCATCCCGATCGGGCATATCTGCCCAGTCTCCCGGAGGTGCCCGTCCGTGATGATACTTCGCCTGGATGTCTTGTCTCATCCCTAATGGGATGTTGGCGGCCTCA